CGGTTTTCAGTCACTGCTCTGTAGTTTCTGCCATGAGCTTTATCGACAGAAAACGCAAAACCAAAACCATGAGGAGCTCAAACGTGGAGGCTCTTGGTAAATTAGAGTTTCCTAGATTACAGGAAGGTTTCAGATGAGACAAAGCAGGGCCCCTCGGCGCCACACAGTTCCAGGGAGACAGGTTTCTCTGCTGCTGCTGTGGACCTGCCTCGGCCAGCATCGGGACTCAGGTCAGGCAGGTCATGGGAGGACCCCCCGCATCAGCCCCACGTGCAGGAGGCTCCAGAGGCCAGGTGGCGGGTGCTGCTTCAACCGTCCCCCATGGTCGCTGTCACCCACTGGTTCCAGAGGCTGAGAGGTCCGCGGAGTCCATGGCCCGAGGAAAACAGTGGCCTCCTCCCCAGCGCAGAGGGGAGATAGGAAAAAGGGGTGTGGGGCCCCAAAAAGGAAGCTGAGGTGGCCCCTCCTGCCTTGGGGGGAGGAAGCTCCCCCCCGCCACCACCACCATCACCACTGAGGGCCAGCCGCTCAGAGTGCAGAGATCTCTTGTGCATTTTGGTTTCCTTTTCCATTCACAAAGAAGTGGGTGGGGGATTTCCAGCCGCCGCCCGCCTAGCCTGCTGGGGCTGTCAGCCGGTGCCCAGGACGGGCTGCCGCGGGGGCCCACCTCTGGGATGTGGCAACTTCCTACCCAGCAAGCCCCTTCTTCCACCTTCTCGGGTGGGGACATGTTGTGCCCTTGCCGAGCCGGCTTTTGACTCCAGTTACCCAAAAAATGCCACATACTGACATTCCGTTTTCCAGAATGGGAAACTGAGGCTCAGAAAGGTCAAGGTCTCGGCCCAAAGTCACATGTCAAGGACATGAGAGCCAAGGTCTGAACTTAAACCTGTCCCCCAGCCCTTCTCCCCGGCTGCCACACTCACAGCCCAGACCATGGCGATGGTCTTGTCCCAACACCCTGTCCCCCCAAACAAACGAAAACAGAAGGCACACTTCCAGAAAGCTGGCAAAAGGCCCCGTGGAGCAGGAGGGGCAGGTGAGGCACCCCCAGAGGCACTGGGGCAGAACGTGAGAATAAATGAACATCGTTGGCCACCCTCCCCCTGCTGGATTCAGGAGCACTTTCTAGTGTGTGGATTTATAGAATTTGAGCTCAAAGGAAACACACCAATATCACCCGCCCACGGTGTCAGCATGGTCAGGGGTTTCTTCTGAGCGAAAAGCTACTCTTCAGAAATGATCTCACACGGAACCCCAGTCAGGGGCTGATGGGGCAGCTGTGTGTGCATTTGGGGCCCCCATGGGAGCCCTGCCCACCACCACCACCCCTTCCTTCCTTCCCGGAAGGCCCAGGTCAAGCCCCTTTGTTGCCCATTTTGCAGCTCAGAGAGGGGTGGGGATCCACCCGGGTCACAAAGCAGCCCGGGGCAGAGCAAGGACAGGAACCCCATTCTCACCGTGGAGGCCTCCTGCCCCTGGTTACCCTGGGAGAGGATGGGACTGGGGCACCACTGGCCTCTAGCGCTCCCATCTGTCTCCCCACGGGGACCCTGGGGCTCTGCCTGGCCCATGAAGCTGTACGGGGCCGTCAGGGACGGGTGGGTGGCTTCTCCACCTGGCTGGGGGCCGAAACACGGAGCCCTGGCAGGCCTGTAGCAGATGCTGTCCCTGGCTCGTCTACCTCCCAGCTGTGTGGCCTTGGGCAAGTCTTTCTACCTCTCTGTGCTTGGTTCCTCGGCCGTGGGGGATGGCTTCATCCCCCCCCCCCCCCCCCCCGGGGCTGTGTTAGATCGACAACTAATAAAAGTAACGACGCGACCACAGCCTCCGGGCTCTGAACGCCCGCCGGGTGTGGGGTGCGCTCCGGAGCTCTGCGGTCAGCCCCGCAGCTCCCCAGCGGTGGGGGCCGTCACGTGGCTATTTCTAGGAAACATTTGAGGAAACTGAGGCACAGTGCGAGAGGGCCAAGTACCTTTCCCAAGGTCACACCGCTTGGAGGGGGCAGAGGCAGGACTCAAACCCAGGTCTGTCCAAGCCAAAGGAGGCTGCCCCCCTCCCGCCTGGCCGCTTCCTGCCTGGCCCTCCTCCTCTTCCTCCTCTTCCTCCTGCCTCCCAGAGGAAACCGCCAGGCCTCCGGCGGACATCCCTTTCTCTCTGCTTCCTCTTTCCCACACTCGGGGGCACGAGCTCTGTGCTCAGGCCCCTGGGGTCCAGGCTGCGGCCCCCTCTGCCTCTCCTGGCCTCAGTTTCCTCACCTGTACAACCGGCGCGGTGCCAGTGCCGACCTGAAGGACGGTGAGCAAGCCACAGGCTCCAACGGTGACGCCCTCAGCCCCAGCGCGCCCGGGAGACGGGGCCCAGCCGCCACCCCGGCCATCAGAGCGCCCGCGGCTGCACGGGCCCGACAACCGCCCCACCCGCAATCCTGCCTCCTCCTGACAGACAACGGGCCCAGCTGGGGAGCTGAGGGGGCCGAGGCCTCGCGGCCTCTGGTCAAACTGGGTCCCCCAGACTGTCTCCCCGCTGGACAAGGGGCTCTGTGAGGGCAGGGCCGGGGGGCTTCCAGGCACCCCAGGAAGGCCTGCTGCCTGGAGGCAGGGGCGTGAGGCTGCCCCTCTGCTGCCCAGTCAGCACACTGTATCCGTGGCCTCTGCCATAGGACCAGCCCCACGGGCAGGTGCTGTGAACGTCCCCATTTTACAGATGAGGAAACTGAGGCCCAGAAAGGCTGAGTCGCTTGCCCCAGGCCACCCAGCTCAGAGGGAGTAGAGTGGGAACGGCTCTGAACCACGCTGTCCAGCTGGCCCACCCCCCAGCCACCCCTAGGACCAGCAGCCCAGCTACTCCCAACCAGACCACTTCCTCCTGGGGCTAGTGAGGCCTGTGGTGCATATGGGGGTGCTCAGGGCTATGGGCTGAGGTGTCCCCCACCTCCTTCCTCTACCCCTTCTCCAGGCCAGGAGCAGAGGCCAAGCGCAGAGCATGCTGGGTGAAGGAGACACTGGCCGGCCCCTCTGGGCCTCAGTGTCCCCAATCTGTAAAAAGGTGGCACTGGACAAGGTGGCCACAGGGAGCCTTTCCCAGTCTGAGAATTCCAAACAGAGGCCCCCCCACCCAGATGGGGCCACTAGTAATAGTAAGTCCTTCTGAAGGCTTACTCGGCCCCAGGTGCAGCCTGACTCCCTGAGGTTCCAATCCCAACCCAGCTACTCAAGAGCTGTGTGACCTCAGACAGGTCATCATTCTTCACCTTGTTTCCTCATCTGTGGAACGGGGGCAATCCCCGGAGCTCTGTCACAGGGCCACTGTGAGGGTTCAGTGAAGCCAGGTCAGTAAAGGTCCTCGTATATAACAAACGCCAAATAGATGTTGGCCAGAAGGTACTCTTCGACCGTAGCTACAACTCCACCGTCACACCCCCGCCATACAGGTGAGAGAAACTGAGGCTCAGCCCCCAGACCTGTGTTTAAATACTGGTAACCAATCCAACTTTTTTTTCTTTTAACTGCTGAGTAGGATGGCACATCTCTGGCCTGGCCTGGCTGGGTGCTGACACTCTACAGGCTCGGGCTCGAGGGAGCCAGTCAAAGAGTGTGGCCAGGGGCTTGGAGGTGGGAACCCCTTGCGATTGGGGTTCCAGTCTCCTCAGGTGCATGACCCTGAGTGAGTCTCTTTGCCTCTCCCAGCCTCAGTTTCTTCCCTGTCAAATGGGCCAGTGGCCTTGAACCTCATGGGGAAGGACTTTAGGTCAAGTGGGTAGGGCAGTGGCTGGCACATAGCAGGGGCCCATTCAAGGTAGTAAATATGCTGCCCCCCATTCTAGCCCGACCCTGGGACTCAGACATGTCCGAGGAGGAGGAGTTGCCACCGGACGAGTGGAGACAGAGACCAGAAGGTCTCGTAGGAGAAGAATCATGCACTACTGATAGTGTGAGACCCCCAAGTCCTTCCTGGGGCTACAAGGCCCCCACCTAATCCAGCCCTAGCACCTTTCCAATCTTCTCTCTGCTTGTTCCCTCCATCCAGCCCCTGGCCACTTGTTTATTCCTCAAAGTCTCCTGGTTCATGGCCACTCCAGGGCCTTTGCACTTGCCATTTCATTGACCTGGGACTCCTTTACCCAGATCTTTCAGGATTTGCATCTTTTCGCATCTCAGACATCACTTCCTGCCAAGGGGCCTTTGAGGACCACCCCCCAATGCCCAGCCTCCTCCTGAAGGCCAGCACCCAGAAGGAAGGCCCATCTCTTGCCCACCTGCAGGGATGCCACTGAAACCAGAGAAGGCCGTGACCGCCCATCTTCGGACACTGGAAATAGCTCCAAGTGTCTCCTCTGACCACCCTCCAGCTCCCCAGCCAGCAGCCTGCCTCTGGCCTTACATCCCCATTAGCAAGGACTCCCCTTGTAGCCCTCATCATGAGCTTGAGTGGCTGCTTTCACCCCTGCTTACAGACGAACAGAATGAGGCTGAGTGGGGAAGACCAGCCAGGGTCATACAGCTGGTCAGAGGCAGAGGTGAGTCTTGGGGACCTATGAGCCTCTGGCTCCCTGGCCTTAGTTTCTGGATGGCCATTGGCTTGGCTGAGGCCCAAGGAACATGTCTCTGGGCAGCTTCCCTGTCTCAGCTCTTGTCCTCCAAACCTCTGCCTGCTCTGGGCAGCAGGATCTTCTCCAGGCTGGTGCTGGGCACCCTTCAAGTGCCATAGCGTGGGTGTGAATCCAGAGCTCAGGCCCTTAACCACCACCTACTGGTTGTCAAACCTGCAACCTTCCTTTGCTTTCTGTTTAAAGCTACTCCTCTAAACAGCTCCAGGGTCAGAGGTCAAGACTGCCCACCTGGCAGGCACACTCAATCAAGACTTACGGTCTAAGTAGCCTCTGCCCGGAGACTGGACGCTCCAAGTCATTCCAGGAAACATTCAGGAACAGCCCCTAGACTGTTCCAAACACAATGGGGAGCTGCTGGAGGCTGGTGGAGCTGGGCTGCTCCACCAAGCCAGATACTTGGTGCGGGGGGCTGGGAGAGGCCCTACCAGGGCTGCTCACTTTGTGGGAGGACACCCCAGGTCTTGGAGCAACCACCAAGCCTGGGACAGAGCCCCAGGGCCCCAGCTGCCCTCCCCCAGACCTCGACTTCACAGGGGCCAAAACACCACTTCTGAGTCCTCAGGGCTCCAACGGGGGCCCCACCACTGGGGCTCCTGAAGAACAGGGGCCCTGGTGGCGCCTCCCAGTCGGGCACTGAGGACCCAGACCAGCACTGGGAATAAATCCTTGTTCTCCATTCCAAAGTCATTACCATGACAGCAAGGAGCAGTAACACTGAGTGCTCCCTGGGCCGAGGGCTGTCCCAATTAACGCAACAGCACCATAAGGTGAGAACTGTGAGTCGCCCCGTTGTACAGAGGAGGACACTGAGGCTCAGAGAGGCGATGTCACTTGCCTACGGCCCCAGAACTGGGAAAAGACTAATTCATTATTTACACTCAGGTCCACTTGACTCGTGACACCTGGTTTTCCAAGATGGTTTATTTTAAAAGCGGAAGTTTTTTTAACTTATTTTTTTATTTGTATTTTTTAAGCTTTTATTTAGTAATCTCTACCCCCAACATGGGGCTCAAACTCACGACCCTGAGGATCAAGCATTGCATGCTCCTGACTAAGCCAGCCAGGCACCCCAGAAGCTGTTTTTAAAGTGAAGTTTTATAGGGACCCCATGCTGTCACACAGATAAGACCATGTGTTTTGGATGTTATTTGCCTTTCATGGTGTCATAACCTCAAGACTTTAAAAATGATGAGAAAACAGTTTTTATCTGCATTTGCATTTTCCAACAGCTTCCCGTTGTGTTTGGAATAAAATGCTAACTCTTCACGGGACCCTCTAACCACACATACTCCCCGTGCTCCATCTTCCCTCACTGTGCTCCCACCACCCCAGCCTCTTCTGTTATATTCTTCAAAACACACAGAATGCCCATCTCAGGGCCTTTGCCTGTGCTGTTCCCTCTGCCTGAAACACTGATTCTTTTTTTGTTTTGAAGATTTAATTTTTAAGTCATCTCTGCATCCAGAGTAGGGCTTGAACTCACAACCCCGAGATCAAGAGTCACATGCTCTACCGACTGAGTCTGCCAGGCGCCCTGACACTGAGAGATTCTTCACTCAGGATTAAGACTGTGGTCCAAAAGTCACCAGCTCAAGGCTTACTATGAAACTTTGGTAATTAGGACAGTGTGGTGTTGGCCTAAGGACAGACACATGGGCCAAGGGGACAGAAGGGAGAGTCTTCCAGAAGCACATCGATGGACACTGGATTTAGGATAAAAGCAGCATTGCAATCCAACAGATGGTCACATCAGCAAATCGTGCTGGAACAACTGGAAGAATTATGATCCTTACCTCACACCGTACATAAAAACTAATTCGAGATGGATCTCGGTCCAAAATGTGAAGGCCCAAAAATAAAGCTTCCAGAAGAAAAGACAAGAAAGATCTTCATGAAACTGGGTAGGCAAAGTTTTCTTAAACAGGACACAAAATACTATAAAGGAAAGCAACTGATAAACTGGACTTAAAATTGAGAACTTCTGTTCATGAAAAGATTCCATTAAAGAAGAAAAAAGGCAACCCACGGAATCGGAGATGATATTTACAATCCAGCATATATAAAAACTCCTATAAGAACAGACAACTCAATAAAAACAAGCACATCACAAAAGAGTTAATTCCAGTGGCCAATAAACAAATGAAAAGGTGCTTAACCTCATGAGTCATCAGGGAAATGCAAATTAAAGCCGCAATGAGAAACCAGTACACATCCACTAGCAGGGGTGAAATGGAAAAAGACTCTCATACACTGCTGGTGGGGACATAAGATCATGCAGCCACTTTGGAAAAAATATGGAAGGTTCTTACAAACATGCACTTAACCATATGGCCTAGCAAGGCCTCTAGGAATCTCCCTGAGACAACATGTCCACACAAAGAACTATACCCAAATTTCATAACAGCATTATTCATAAGAGTCCCAAAGTAGAAACAATCCAAATATCCATCAGCAGGTGGATGGATAAGCTACGTGTGGTACATCCATACAAACCAGCTACTGATGCACACGAGAACATGAACAAGTCTCTACAACATTCTGCTGAGCAAAAGCAACATGCTGTGTGATTCCATTTGTATGAAGTTCAAGAACAAAGAAATGTAATCCGTAGAGTAGGAGTCAGTGGGAGGAGGGGGTGGCTGGGGTTACTGACTTGGAGGAGGCGGGAGGGAGCCCCTGGGTGCTGGGTCACTTGGGTGTGTGCAAAGATGGCAATACTTGTGAAGCTTCCAATTCACACACCCGTTGCTGTGTACACATGGGACACGGTGCCGAAGTTTAAAGGTTACTTCACACGAGGATTCTTTGGCAACACCCTATCCCAACCACCAAATTGGGGCCCCTCAGTGATACTCCCAGAGGCCCCATTGCTCTTCCTTTAGAACACCGTGTAGAATTTATAATTCCATGTTCAGTTGTAGGTTTATTCCTCAGTAGCTCTCACTAAGATGCCAGGTCCCCAGCATCAGCGTCTGTCTGGTACACTGTAGGCGCTCAATAAATATCTGTTGAATGAATGAATAACTAAGTCTCTTCCATTCAGACTGTGACCCTCCCAGGGCCAGGACCACATCTGCTTTGCTCACTCTCTAGCAGCATAACGGAAAGAGAAAGGAATTAAATGAAAGCCACGTGGTCCCATCAACTTGATAGACCTGAGTCAAAGATAGAGCTTGTCCGGTGTTTGGAACACCTCGACCCTCCAGCCTCATCTGCAGAGCTGAATTAAGTTGTCAAAAAAGAAACAGAATTTTTAACACTTGAAAATGGACATCCACAAATCATGAGACATGCAAAGGAATCAAAATGACAGTTTTGAACCCTCTAGAAAAACCCCTATTTGTCATGGTCCATCTGGGTCAGGGTTGTCAAGGAGCTGGACCGCCCTGTCACAGCCCACATGACGCCCATATACGGTGTCTCTGGACTCTCCACAAAATCCCTGATGGGTACTCCTCAAAACTATAATGAGAAACAAGGAAAGCCTGAGAACCTATCAAAGCCATTAAGCCCCTAAAGAGACATGACAACCGAATCTAATATGGTATATGCTGGAACAGAAAAGGGATGTTAGGGGAAACTAGCAAAATCCAAAGAAACCGCGGAGTGTCCTTAATACTAGTGGCCAACGCTGGTGCCTGGGTTATGCAAATGCACGCAGTAACGTAAGATGCTAACATTAGGCAAGGCTGCGTGTGGTGTACGAGGGAACCCTGGGCCATCTCTGCAACTTCTCCGCAAATCTAAAATGGTCTAAAAGAAACTCTTCACTTTTTAAAAGGCATGCTTTCCTCTGGGTGCTGTGCGGCCGCCCGCAGGGCTGTCGCGCGGGGAGCTTACCTTGGGCGGGTCGAAGAGCTCCAGCACGCGGTGCGCGCCGCCGTCGGGGCCCCGGGCGCGCCGCAGCGCCAGCCGCCCCCGCTGCCAGCGCGCCCCGCTGTCCATGGACGCCTCGTCCGCCAGGCTGTAGCGCAGCGCCGCCTCCTTGAGGGCCTCGGGCGGCGGCTCGCGGGCCAGGCTCCAGGGCAGGAGCTTCCTGGCCAGGCCGGGCCGGGCCGGGCCCTCGCCCGTCTCCCCCGCGGCCCCGGTGGCGGCGGGCAGCTCCCCAGCCGAACCGCGGCGCAGGATGTGGCGGAGGCTGTGGCGCAGGTGCTGGAAGGTGCAGGCGGCTGACGGTCGTGGCGGGGCCAGCTCCTCCGAGCTGCGGGCCTTGGGCAGCGCCGGGGCGGCGGGACCCGGGCCCGAGTCGGCCGGGGCTGCCTCAGCTTTGGCCGGGGGCCCGCGGCCCGTGTCCCGGTAGTCACGAGCGGGCGGCGCGGCCCGGGATCCCAGTGGCCCAGGAGCCCAGCCCTCGCGCACCTCGCGGCAGAAGTAGCGCTGGAAGAGGTCGGTGAACTGCAGCGACACGAGCTCCGCGCGCAGCGGCGCGTGGTGCGGATGCTCGCGCGCGAAGAGCCAGTACTGCCGGGCCAGCTCCCGGGCCGCGGCCACCGCGTGCAGCTCGCAGAATTCGCTCCAGCCCCGCGGGGACGGCGACGACGCTGCCGACGAGGAGGGGGAAGACGCGGAGGAGGCCGAGGAGGGCTGCAGGGTGGGCCCGTTCATGGCGGAGACCGAGGTGGGGCGGCCAGGCTGAAAGACACAGTGGGGTGGGCGACAAAGGAGTAAGCAGGCAGGTGACCAAACGACTAAACTCCCCACCGCAAGACAGGTTATTCACCAGGCACAACGTCAGAAATCGGAAATGACCGATAATACCCGGTGCTGGTGAAGGTGCCACGAAATGGTCACTCTCCGACAACGCTGCCAGTTCTGTTAACAGATAACAGCCTTTTTGGAGGGCAATTTAGCAGGATCCATTTCAGGCCCAGGAATGCCACTTTCAAGTATTCAAGAGAATGTCTGCTTGCAATGTGCAGAGAGGCAGTTACAAGACAATCCCCTGCTAGATATTTTCGGCTTTGATGTTTATACAACTTAATGCCCATCAGAGGCAACTAAAGCAAACGGTGATACATCTGCAGACTGGAATATTCTGCAGCAGTGGAAAAGGTAGAGGAAAGTCTGCGCTACCACCCCAGGGAGATCCCCAAGGCAAACCATGGAACAGTGCAGACTGTGATCCCATTTACATGCACACACACAAAACCAAATTACCAATTTTTATGTGCGTGTAAATGTGTATAAGTGGTGGGCAAGGAAGGTGTGGCTGGAGCAAAGCCGCCAGAAACAGTGGTGACCTCTGGGGAAGAACCAGATTTGGGATAACAGTAACCAAGGAATACTGCTGCTACTTGCCTCTAGAAAATATGGTAAAGAACACAGAGCCTGTGTTCAAATGCCAGCACTGCGCCTTACTAGTTATGTGACTGAGTGAGTTACTGACTTCTCTCTGCCTT